CACTGAGTTTGCTTCTGCGACAAAAGGCCTATGATCGGCCTGCACCACCTCTGCTTCACCCTTGTTATTCCAAAAAATCAGGCATTGATGGAGCGATGAGGGTATACAGCGACTTCCGTGTATCTAATCTCTTCCTAGTAACACATTGTAACTAGTAGGACCATCTATTACAAAGAAGACTATGGTCCTAGTAATTGTCCCTATAGTTATGTCCAATGACATAACTCCCTTAGCTACAGTTGCTCCTCCATTGAAACTTGTAAGGATGACTTCTGTTGGAATCATATCCCATTCTGTCTTTGCAAGTTTCCTCATCATCCTAGATGGAATGGTGTTTATAGCTGCTCCATTATCGACAAGCACTTTTGCCACAGGTATGCCGTTAACTAGAGCTTTAACGTACAATGTCCTCAAGTGTTTAGTCAATTTCATGGCTGGCCGCTTAAAAATAACCTTTTCGACAGCCTCTATTTCTACTTCCTGCTTGCCCTCTATCGAGTTATCCTTTTGTGATAAGTCAACGTGCAGCATATCGCACGGAGCCTCTGTCTCCTGAATTTCCTTTTTACTGTTTTCTAATGCTTCATCTTTAATTACCCAACTTGTGGGAGGAGGCATTATTCTTGGAGGTGATCCATACTTTTCAGAGCGAGGCACTCTCTTCTTCCTTTTGGGCGTCCCGTACAGCATGTAAAAATCAAAAGAACGCCCAGATAGTTCTCCTAATAAGTCTACTTCACGAACTCCCTCTCGATGTAGTTGTTTCAACAGAGTATTGTACGATACTCCTCCTCTTCTTCTTCTTTCTGCTTCCAGATCGATTTATTCTTCAATGTCTGACATACCATCATCTTCCTCACCATTGTAGGCCTCTCTAGAAGTTTGGCCTTCTTCATATTCTAGCACGCATGCTTCTCCTTCGTTATCCTCTCTTTCTTCTTCTTCTTTCTCTTTATTCTTGAACTCATTGGAGTAAATAGTTATTAGCCACGACAGGAGGTAACGTACCGAACTGAATAGTAAGGGGCTGATTTGGATTTTCTCCATCCCTTCTGTCTCGCTCAAAATTTGATTTCTGAGAAGAAGTTTCTGGCAACTCTTTCATTAATTCATCTGTACCAGTCTCTTCACTGTCTTTGAGAACATTTTGATTGACTACCTCGAGTAGTTTAGGCGCCTTAGGACGTGGCACTCCCTGTTGTTGCCTCATCATTCGTCCATAATTTCATTGGAAACGCCTTTGTTAGGTTCTAGTCATCTCGTTGAAGGGTATCGCATTTCCTGCATTATACTGGAACGAATGCCATACATTTGGTTGGCGAGGTTGCGGCTTGAATATTCTCCCATTATTTACTGGCCTGAACTGCCTCTCAAAAGGCGGTCCCTTATAGAACAATGTACCTCGCCCTCTACCAGGCTGGGCGTTTGGGAAGAAAGTAGGGCGATGGGAATGCTGCCATATTCCTGGTTTCTCCATATTCCCACTCACTTCTCTTTTACATCTTACACACAAGACGTTTTCATCCTTTTTTGACTCCTTCCTTTTAATACGCTCAAAGACACTGGGATGTGGTCCAGGGTCTTCTTCTCCATCATCTATAACCAACTTGAATTTTGGCAACTTGTTTTTGAAACCAGACGTCACCATATGCACTCCAAGTGGCTGTGGAAAAGGATTTTTATCCACTGCCATCTTCTTCTTATCATCGAACATAATTCGTTCTGATTTAATGGCATCCTGTAACACATGGCGAAAAACCAAGCAATTGTTAGTCAAATGTGACCATGCATTATGCCACTTAAAATATTTTTTACCCTTAATTTGTTCAGGGCTTGGCAATTTATGCTTATTGTTCAGCTTTATCTGTTTATCCTTATATAATTTATCAAATATAAGGTCAGCTTTGGTTACGTCGAACGAGAACGTTCTAGCTTTTATGTTTTCATCTTTCATAGGCTTATTATTGCCCGATGGTCTAGGCTTAGCCATTATAGGACAAGTATACGTGTCTCCTTTGACTAATTCAGCCAAAAACATTTCGGTCTGATCGTATGACTCGTTATTGATGGTATGAATATCAAAATTTGGGTCTCTATAATAAGTCCCCTTACTAGAATTTTTTATCTGCTCTTCTTCTCTTATCAATCGTTCATACCTAATCACGTTCGCGCTCAATTGGAAAAGGTCAGAAAATTCCTTGCCTTGAAATTTCTTTTTCAAATCAAAGTTCAAACAATTTTGAGCGATTTTGGCAAACTCTTTTTCGAGCAAAGGTACAAAATATTTACTTCTTGCTATCTTGAACCTTTGGAGGAACCCTTCTGCCCATTCGTTTGGCATTTGACGTAGATTCGTCAAATCGGCCAAAGTAACTTCAAACTCAATATTATAAAACTGAGTGTGGAATAATTTTTCCAATTGTTGCCATGTTTGAACAGAGTTCACTGGCAAATTGATGAACTAGGAGAAAGCTATTCTTGTTCATGAATTAGGGAAAAGCCTCATTTTATGATAATCAGTTATGTTACCACTTTGCAGTGTGAATCGCCCTATGTGTTTTAGAGTAGACACCTCCCCTAAATCGGTAAACAGTGAGAATTCTGACACTTTATACCCTCTAGGCCATGGATATGCTTGGTCTACCCAATCAGGATATGGCTTTGTGTAAGTCGGCCTAATAACAGGTCGTACCCCAAAAGCCATCTGATCCTGTACGATTTCCATAATCTGATTCCTCAACATGATGTTGGGGTCGTATGGAATCCCTACAGGTTGGTTGACCGGTTGATTTGCTTGAGGCCTGATGTTTGGTCCTTGATTGGGAACAAAGTTACCATGATTTGGGTCATTGTTACCATTAGCCTGAACATTTATTCCCTTATTAACACGTGGGGTATTCTGCCCATTATTTAGGATATTATTTTTTACATTTGGATTACCCCCAAGTTAGACGTACCAATGCCACTATTCTAATTTGGTATTGCACCACCCCCCTGGTTTGAAGTAGAGAGATCAAAAGGTGGTTCTACCCCTTGATTTAAACTTAGGACTGGGGGATTATGTCTCACAATTGTCCTAATTTGAAAGTGGTTTGTAAGAGGCATAACTGGTTGACAAATTTGGCCTACTAACTTATTCATTATTTCGTTCAAAGTATTCAGTTGTTTGACTATGGTGTCATAATGTGCATTCTCATTCTGGGTAAATCTTTCCATATTATGAATATTTCGAAGATTTACTTGTTCAACGACATCTTGTGTGAGTTCTCCAAGTAGTGCACGCATAGTTCGAGGACTCAACTCTGTCATTGATTCGTAACGACTGATACTGCTCTGATTCTGTCCATCTGTTCGTGGAGAGCTATACTGCTCCTCATATCGCTCGATCACAACTGGACTCCTCCCTGACTTGCTGCTTCCTTATCGGATCTCTGAGGCATATTGTTTCACCATTTGTATCTTCAACACCAAACACCACTATCCCACTGGACGTGCCAAATTGTTTCGTGTGGGTTAGTCGCTAACAATTAAAAAGGGATCAGACGATTGTGTAAGGGACAAACCCCTTGAGACAAAGTCCCAAAAATGGGTATTTTTATTGGCGATGACTTTACAATTGGAAAATAAAACAGAATGCCTCCAAGGAGCGCAAGCACACGAGTTACTGAAAAGAAGTGTTTAAATCTAAACTAAGAAATTGAAGGTTACATATTCTCTATTTGAGAGTATTTGATTCGGGGTCCTTTGCTCTATGTCTTTTCTTCCTTTTATACTCCCTGGATGATCTCTTCGTGATCAACCGCTTAAAAACTGTTTGATCGCTCTATGACTGCTTACTTTCTTCATAGTGGCCAACTTGTCATGGAACTGCCTTCTCTAACTGCTGCCATTACTTTTTGTCATTCAACCGTCTTCAATTGAATTCCTTGAATCGTGGAACGTGATAGGGTTACTCAATAACTACTTCATTAACCGCACTTTTGGATAACCATAACATCTTATATTTGCTAAAATTCTGGGTGACTCGAAGGTTTTGGCGAGAACACGGTCACAGCTCTGGGCGACTGCATGGCAATCTATTCGCTCAAATCTTGGGTAACTTGCAAGCTTGGACGATGGTATTACCGTGTTCATGGGCTTCCCTATTTGGGCCTTTATCCTAAATATCCTGATTGGGCCGTTTTTTGGGCTATCTAATTTGTGGATCCTCCAAGTGGATTTCATTCCTTGAATTACTCGATTTTGGTTGAACTTTTTGTGTGTCAACAAAAACATTCCAATGTACTTGATCATATTTCTAATTCTCAAAACTGTTGTTTATATTCAAACACATCTGTATCCCAAATCCGAATACCCATTCCACATCAAAACCCTGACAACACTACCCCCACCAACACTATTGTTGTCATCATCGACGCGTTGCTGCTGCATGGAACAACTACCAGTGCCACCATCATTTCCTTCACCGCTACCATCCTCGTACCAAACCTACCCAGTACCACCATGCACTGCCACCCAATGGTGGTGTGAATTTTTCAAATCAAGACGTACCTCACACTGCCTCCATAGAAATTAATGATGATAGTGATTGCAGATCTATGTAGATGTTTACAAAAATAATAACAACCGCAATAAAATAAATTGGACAGTAAAGTGAAAAATAGGATGCCTTGTTTTTAATTAAGTCAATTCTTACACGTTGGATCCTAATTAAGGATTGGGTAAATTTTCTGGCCCTATCCCATTGTAGTAATTTTTTTGTCAAGAAATCATGACAATACACGCAGAATTAAGAGCTAGTATTGAGAAGGAAGTAGTAATTGATAGAATCATACGACTTTTTGATTACATTTTTATTTCTTATAGTGATCGGGATTAAATTTCTGAATGGGTGGAGGATAATACGTTTTGCGAAAAATGATTTTTTGGTGACTGTATACTTAAAAAGTAGGAAAAAAAGTTATATATTCACGTGTAAAAATATTTTATTAGTTAAAAAGAGTTTTGCTACATATATAATTTTCGATGCTAAAATACCAACATGTTGGAAAATGAATTTGGATTAAAATAAATTTTGAAAAATGAGGCGCATAGTGTTATTTGATTAACTCGTCTCCTTTACCCAGTGCTTCAAGTTTTCCATGACGAATTCTTCTTCATCGGCTCTTCTTCACAGCCTCGTCCAGTAAGTTCTCTCTCATCACACACACATAGAGGAACACTTTCGCTTTATTTTTCTCTCTGTACTGGGGTCTCTCTGTGCGTTTTGAGCTCAAGTCTGTATATTTGTGTATGCATATAATATGTTTGTTTCTTTGTGTGTGTGAGACGCGTAATCAGCTTCATATTATGGTTGCTTCTTCTTCAATTGCAGATTATCACAAACCCTTAAATTGAAACTCTCCGAAACCCCGTACAATCCACCAGAAGGTTCCCCGAATGTCGCCATCAAATCCACTCTGCAGGATCTTCTACCAAATCCCAATATTTCGGAAGCCGATTTCCGAACCCACGTCAAAGACTTCGTATTATGCTGTGCTTCACTAGCTTCTGCTTTGAACTCCTCCACCGAACACCTTTCGTGGATCCCGAATTCACTCTCGTTTTCTGCACTTTCCGCATTGGAAGATTTTGCCAATGCTTATTATAATTCTAGCAACGTGAAGGATTCAATTAAGATTGGTGAATTGGAGTTGGATTTGAGGTTCTTGGGGAGTGCCAAGAGGCTGGTGATCGAGTTGATATCAGAAGTTCTGCCTTTGTTAAAAGATAAGATTAAGGAAAGTGCAATAGATGCATCTGATGATGGTGATGGAATTTCAGCTGCTAGTGCTAAGGCCCCAGTAGCTTATGCAATTGTTGCTGCCTATCAGTTTCGATGGTTTGTTACACAGGTCACTGTGTTTGGTACATTGGAGTTTTCCATATTATTGAATGTTGCTGTCAAGTTCTATCTAACATGAGTTGATATCAATTTCTTTAGACGGTCTTGAAAAATAACAATGTGGAGGAGAGTTCCCTGCCCCTTGTATATAAATGTAATTAAGCGAGAGAACATAGTAACATATAAGTGTATTTGATATGTTAATTGAGAGTCGGAGTGTCCCGGGGAAGTCCTTGCCTTCTTTGCAGGTTCTTATTGGTGGTGGCATTACTACGTTATTTTACAAGACCGTAGTGGCAATTGATGTTGGACCTCCAATTTGACTACTAAAGTGAAAATTTTGGTTTAAGATCTGTGTTTGACATTGATATTAAGTATTGTTGTGTAGGTGGATGGTCTTATTTTGGGGAAGTTGTGTCCTTTGGTGGTTCCTTGTGCTTTGACAGCTCTTGATCACTGGTCTCAAGAAGTCAAGGTAAGCTGTGTAGGTGGATGGTCTTGATCACTACTACTATATTGAATTGCTAATTTTCTTTCCTTTGTTGTTGTCTAATTTTCTTCCCCTGATTAAAAATGTGTTGAGCCTAAAATTAAAGCGATATTTCTTTTTTATGCATAGAATAATTGTTCTGAGTTATCCTCGAGTTTAGCGGTTATGCTGTTTCTCTTTTCATTGATATCTCCGCAAATTTTCAATCTTAAAATTTTCAAAATAAGCTTAAGGCACTAATAATTATGCCATGAACTGAAATTAGTTAGTCTTTGCAACTTTCGTTGTGAAAATGCAGTTATTTGAAAATATGATCTGGATAGATTATATATTTAAAATGAAAATAAAAATAAAAATAAAAATCTCAAAGTTACTTAGAGCTGGTAAAGTCAAAGTTCTTTTTACTCGGAATTGATGCTAGGTGCTACATCTCTAGCTTTGATTCTTCTAAAATTAGTGACATCCATTAAGTTCTTCAATTATCGATAGTTATCGTGTCGGAAGGGTGAAGAGAAATTCATACCAAATCAATGTATTGCAAAGTTTGTTGAAAAATTAAGAGTCTAGGGAGGACTTATATGATTATATAGATTAGAGATATTTTAGTTATAAAGAGGAATTTAAAAGAATCACTCCATGCCAATTAAAAGACAAAAATGTAAGTTAACCGTAACAGAAATGAGGATTATAAGATTGATTTTTGGTCATACTAGAATGAATAGGGTAAGAAATGAGAATATATGGCTACAATTTGATGGGGCTTTGATGAGAATAAATTAAGGGAAGACAACTTTGGTGGTTAGAAACTTAGAACAATGTCTTGTTAAAATTTAAAGAGGCCAACTTTTATAAGAGTGACAATCTCAGTAAAACAAGTTAGAAGAGGGAGGAATAGATCAAAACTAACATAGTCCATTGTGATTGATATGAATCTAGGTTTTTTTTGGATATTCTACGTGATGTAGTATAAACCGAATGGAGTGGTGAAAAAAGGGATTTATGTAGCCAACTCAATTCTATTAGGACTAATGCTTTTTTTATTGTTTTCTTGATGGGTGGAGGGGGAGGGCGAGGGAATTGTATCTAATTTCATGATTTTTGAATTATAACTCCTAGTCCTAGACTTGATAAAAAGCCTTGAGCTTTTTTCTTTAAGCACTCCCATAGTTTTGACCTAATGAGCTTTCTTTACGTTGAATTTGTGCTGGATATTATTGTCTTAGGGAGTATTGAGCAAAATCAATGATAAGGATGGTTAAGTGAATTGATGAAAAAAGAACTGGGTATAATTGTGGTATTTTAACCGAAGTTCAGAAAAATATGTGGAGGGCACGTGAAGAAGGAGGTTCTCGCAAGGACTGCATTTCATACTTAAGAAGCTTCAAATGTTACCTTAAGTTACGTTCGGCCCCCCATTTTTTTCCAAAATTTAATGGTTGGAATAGTGTTTTTTTTTTTTTTAAAGAATGTGTGGTTGAAAAAGAATGAAAAGTTTTCGATTTGCGTGTAATACATTTTATGGAAAATTGTGTGGTTGAAAATAAGAGGAAAAAAATGAAAGAGAATGGGGGCCAAACGGGGGCTTAATCTATTGGAGGACCTTTTTCCCTTTTTTTTTTTTTTGGTACAATTCATGGGACAGAAAATAAATTGAGTTTGTGCAGGTATGAGTTTAGAGATTATGTTCTACTGCCTTGTGTATTCTGATTAATACTTTTATTAGTTTTAGAACTACCTCTAAATTGGTAGAATCAATCTTAAATTTAATCGTCAGCGCCTGCCAAAAGGACCAAATTTTCGAAACCTCTACAGGATTAGCAGAAGCTAGATTCTATGTGCATCTGTGTGTATGGGTCTTCAACTCTAATTTTAGCATCTTATACGTTCATTCAAGCTTCCTTTTCAGGGCCAAGGCATGATTAGCTTTATACATCTTGGAAAAATTGTAAATGCTGCTGATTTTGGTAGCTATGTGGATGTAATCCTTGATGCTTGCTGCCAAAATGTGGCTTCAGATGATGAGATATGGGACTATGTGGTGGAGATGTCAGTGCTTCTCGTCACTTCAACTCAGAGAAATAATCCTCGCAGTCAATGGTATTGATGTTTGTATACATTTTGTTTATGCTCTGAAATATTTCTAAGTGAAGGATGATTCATGTTGGACTAATCGTGTCATGATGACTTTTTACTCTTCCATTTGAAGCTATACATTGAGAATATTATATATTAGTTATAAAAATGATTGTTTAAATTTAATTATTGTCACGTGACATGTGAATTATGAACCACTGGGATCACTGGAGGATTGCTGGATAATAAATGCCTTCTAAATTTTATCCTTTTTGTTGACCTACCAAAACTGGGCAACGTGTAATTTGTTGCAGTTTGGTTTATAGAACACCTAAGACTAGGATTCCAAATCATGCTTTTTATCGTCACAACCAGAGAACATAACCCTCATTCTGTGCTTTTCTGGCCACAACTTAAGCCAAACTATAATATCTCGAGAAGTTCCAAACCAGTTGACATTAATGTTGTCCTTGAATAAACCAAAGATTACTGTTTCTTCGTACTCTGCCAGCATTGTGCAACAGCATGTGGCTAGAAGGTGATATTGTCTTTCTGAATGGATCCTACCAATGGAATTTTTCTTTTTTTTTTCTTTTTTTTCTTTTTTTTTTATAACACATTCAAATATCCGTGTCTTGCTCTGAGCAATTGGAATACACACATCCATCAATTGTCATTGATATTTCATGTAGGTTTGAAAAACTGCTCAATGAGATGTTAAATCACTTAGAACGGCAACCAAGAAATAAGCAGCGTCGTACTGCATGGCTGACGCACATTGAGCCACTTTTCAAAGTTCTAGGTCTCCTACTGCTTGCTCATTTCAGGCGTCTCTTTCCTCTTTTCTTTAAGTGGATGCATGCTGATGATGATGAAACAGTTTTGCTGGTTAGACAATTTCTTCTTTATTTGAAAATCTGAACATCTTCCCCCAGTTACAGTTTTTTTGTATTGGTTTATGAAATGCATGTTATCAATATTTAATTGGATAATTTTCTGATTGCTATTTCAAGATTTTTAATTCAATCGATCTTCTTCTTTTTTACTACTTTTTTCCTACTTAGTCTCTCTTTATCTTGCCTTTTTATGTTTAATATAGAATTGTGTTATGAGAAATATAACTTTTTGGTCCTCTATTTATATATCAGGTTCTGGAGCGGACCAAAACCGTTCTAAGAGTAACATGGATAAGAAATTCACCGTTTATTGAAAGGTAATTATATGATTGCCTTTACACTAGTGATATGGGGCATATTGTTGTTAGCATTATGTGAAAGGACTAAGGAGTTAGGCTTATTAGAGGTCAATAAAAAGGTGTATCTAAGGCTTATTAGAGGTCAATAAAAAGGTGTATCACAGAAATATAATAATTAAATTTTTTTACTCCATTTTGGCACTAAAATGGCTACGTACAATTTGTAATGATTAATGTTAAACCAAAATTTTTTAACTGAAAAATTGGTTTTTAACTCTGAGAACTTATGAAGGTTGTAAAAATTATCAATATATTGGATTATTTATTCTATAATGTATCCCTGCTTTCTATGATGTGTAATTGGCTTCAGATTTGTGGACGAGCTTATCACTCTGTACAAAGAGGCAGCACTGAAGGTTAATCGGGAACCTATTAGATCACTAGTTCTTCAAATACTGGCCCTGATACAGCAGTAAGTTTAGTACTCTCTTTCAGTTACCTTTTACTTTTGGTCAATTTTTGCAGTTAGAATTTCTCCGAATCATGTCTTGACAATTTTTTTTTTTCGTTCTTTTGTTGTTCTCCAAGTTCAAATGGTTCACAGTTCGATGCCACTTGGAAAAAGTACAAGGATGATCCAGACCTGATCTCTCTCTCTGGCCATTTTCAACACAAGAGATAATGCAGTGGTAACACACTGCGTTTTATCACAAACAAATTGATCTATGTAGTCAAGAGAGTTTTTATTGTCTCACTATCATTCTAGGGGAGACACTTGTGCATTTAAAGGTTCATAGAGACGAAGTTATAACCAAACCTAAATAATCATTATACAATCGTTTTTTATTTTTTTTTATTTTTTTGAGATAAGAATAATCATCGTACAATTGTTTCGTTAACTTTACCAAAATATTTACCATTATTTCTGTATAGAGCCCCTCTTTTGGAAAGAGCACCATGATTAGAGCTAAACAGAACTCCCAAACCGGACTGAGTCGTTCTTTTTAAGTTAAATAGCTGAATGTGTATGTAAATTGAGAATGGATGAGTTCGGTTCGATTCTCAGTTCTAGATCAAGAACAATAGAATTGAATCTTCCTAATTTTTTTATTTTTTTTTTATCTTAAATAAGACAAATTGTTTTATTTTTTAAAATAAATTTGCTAACTAATTAGTCCAAACCCAAGATATGAATTTTCTATTTCTAATTTCCAACTCAATTTAACTAAATTGATCTAAGATTTACTCTAATCTTTTATTCTATCGTTTGAATTTGAAGTTTGAATGTGCTTTTCTTCATTATTATGGACTCGCTATTTTCTACTTTTATGATTTAACACTCAAATTTACAAAGAATTCAATAAAGAGAGACAAAAGATATCATGAGATTGAACTACCTTATTTTGTAAGAGCTAAGATTGAATATGTTATAGTTGAATTAATGTACAATTGTTATAAATATATTAAAAAAAATTAATTATTTTATGGAACTTGAGATTCAAATTGAATTCGAACCGTTTCATAATTAAATTTGGACCCGAAGACACTTACTAAATACCCGAAAGTTTGGGTTTAGAATCAAACTGAACTGGATCATGTCCGGCCCTAACAATGACACAAGGTTTTATTGAAGTGATTCAGACTTTTGAGGGGCCCTGTGATTATCTGGAATAGGCAAAGTTTTGTTAAAACCTTAGTGCAGCTTGAATTGAACTGTGTTCAACTGGTGCTCTTTTCAAAGGAAAAAAGAAGTCTGCTGAACTTAGTACAAAGAGAGTGATTCTTGCTGCTTTTAATGGATAATTGCAAATGTTCCTCAAGTTTTTTTTTTGCTTTTTTTTTTTTTGGTGGTTGGTGTAATACTGCTTGTCTTATATGGACTGCAAATTGGTTGGAGATTATGTAATACAGGGATTTTTCATTTCATTTCAGTTGTAGCAAGTCTGAAGGATTTGAATGTTTTTTTTATAACCGAATTTCAGAATGCATGAACGGACATTGTACTGTGATTACAAGAACAAATGGAAATAGTTTATTTATGTGGAATATCCTACTCTCCGTATTTGAAATAGATTATGTTTCTTTTTGCTTTCAGGCACATTCACCAAGCAAAAATCACTATGCCATTACCATTTTTGTAATCGAAATTCGAACAATAAAGTAATGTCTAGCATTCCATATTCCTTCAAGAATCAATCCTTATTCTCCAACTACAAATGAAATCTGGCTTTGTGAAAACAGATTGCATCAGACAGATTAAACATATCATCAATTACCAACAATCTCGACTTGGTACTACTGAACCTGAATCAGATAACATCAAAACTAACAGAGTAGAAACTAGAAAGAGTGGCAAATATAATTCTCAGACATCCCTATGAGGCAGTAACAAGTTGAACTGCCCGAGTTGGACGAGACTAAGCAGTGAAAATTCTGTGTATCGGCACCAAAACAAGAAACACAAGCACCTGCATCTGAACTAAGCAGTTACCATTTCCAAGAATCTTTTGAGAACCTGAGAAATCAATCCTGTATTTCAGAGTCATATTGGGATGCATAATTCCCCATCTCTGCTCTCCCAATCCACTCCTTGAAATACTAGTTCCATTTTTGTTACTGCTATTTTTGAGATCAAATTCATCAAACAATTGATAAATGTAAGCCTGAGCAACCCCTTCTTTCTTCAATGGAGTCCCCATTCCAGACCTCAAATGCATCAGCAACCCCTTTAAGTACATCTCGGCATAGTTTCCGATAGCCTCAGACCCGTCTTCGTTAGGCCACCCGGTCTCTGTCACGATCACCTGGATATTCTCTTTCCCCAAAACCGCCATAGCAGCTATAACAGCATCCACCATCATGTCGAATAAATTCCGGTAGCGGACTCCTGTGATTGTGTCATCCCGGAAATTGAATGGGTTCTCTTGGAACAAAGCGTACCCAACTGGGATTTCGGAATTCATTCTGTAGACATTGTATGGGAACAAATTGATCAAGAATGAAGAGTTGGTTTCATCCAAGAACTGTAGCAACGGAGTGATAATTAAAGAATTGACGGGTTCTTGGAACTCGGCGGAGGATGGGGGAAACGACGTCGTCATGACGTTGATAAAGGAGAAGGTGGTGGAAACGGGGATGGAGCGAATGCCAAGATCTCGGAGGGAGGTGTGGAGGTTGTTCATTGCGGGGGTGAGGGTGGTGGTGGGGTCGGAGGCAGCGTCAGAGGAGGAGGCGGCGGCAGAGATGAAGTCCGTGCCGACGGAGATAAGTGAAATGCGGGTACGGGGATGGTAGGGGAGGACAAGGGAATAAAGCCAGAGGGTGGCGGCGGAGCGGTTAACAGCGAAGGAGGGGACAAGGTCATTGGGGACGGAGAGAAGGAGGGAGATGTTGGTGTAGGCAAAGGCTCGCACGGCTGCCGGAGTGGGGTCCAGTAGGTGGACAGCCTGGACATGGAGGGACTGGAGGGTGGAGACCACTTTTTCCGGCGGCGGGATGTTTGGAACGGAGGGGTTGTAGGTGACTCCGACGGTGGTGGCGGTGCAGGCGGTAGCGCAGATGAGGAGAAGGGCGGCGTAGAGAGAGAGAGGAGCCATTTAGTGGAAGTTTCTTGAAAATGAACTGGGTATTATGGCGGGAATGTTGTGTATATACAAAAGTAGTTAGTGTGTGTGTAGTGAAGCCATTTGGTGGATTCAGTTAATTCCGTTGGAAGGTTAAGACAGAGAAATGTTAGTGTATAGTGAGGTACATGGAATTGTCGTGAGACTACATCTAATGAGCTGCCACGTTTTTGTCAGCCTTTTTAATCCAAATGAGAATCATAGGTACATATAGAAAAAATTAAAATTAATCATAGGTATATATAGAAAAAATTAAAATTATAATTAGCCAATATGTATGGTACACCTGGTTCTGCAGCACGAATTCTCATTACTACTTTTTTGAAGAAACAAGTTATCATTTTTTTGTATTAAAATTGGACATCATACTTGATAAATTTTATTATGGTCCAGTTTATTTATCATTTTTGAAAGAACGAGAATAAAAAATATAGTCATTACGAGCTCCACACAAAAGATAAAAATTCAAATTTGGTGGTTTAATGTAATAAATAATGATCATATTTTTCATTTTAATGAGAAATAATGGAAAACAAACGGAGACTATGTATCTCTCTTCGTCAATCTTGTTCCTTTCAAGAAGTAAAGTTGCGACCTTTAAAGTCAATAGAATGTCAAGTAGTAAATAAATTGTTTGTGTCACGGATTTTGAGGTAAATCAATTCCCATTTTGGGCAGGTTCTTAGTAAATGAACATGGTCATGTGAAGACAATTATTTGAACTCTATAAAATTAATAATATTTTCAATTTTAAATCACTAATCTATATAAGGTCTGTATTTAGCATAGTTATTAGATCCAACGTGGTCATTGACCCGAAAAATTCAGTAAGTCACTGAGTCGTGGTTTAATCGGTAAGTCAGTGCTACATCAAAATATTAATTAAAAAAATAAAAGACAACATCTCTCTCTCTCTCTCTCTCTCTCTCTCTCTCTCTCTCTCTCTCTCTCTCTCTCTCTCTCTCTATTAT